TATCTTCGGAATTAAATCACATTTTAATAATAAATTCGCGTGATTGCGAAAAACCGGATGGTCGTTTACGTATAATTGAATTTTTGTCGCATCGTTACACGTGTTACGATAACATCGTACGAAAGAGAAAAAAAAATAAAAGAAGAAAAAGAAAATGAAAAAAAAAAAAAAGAAAAAAAGGAAAAAACATTTTAATAATATTTATAAATAATAATAATAATTATTATTATTATTATTATTATTTATTATTTTAACGATCGTACGATTCGCGATCGTTCCGAGGTTACACTAAAGCAAAAAAGAAAAGACAAGACAAGACAAGAAAAAAAAAGAAAAAAGAAGAAAAAGAAAATATAAGTGTAAAAAGAAAATTTGCAAACGTTACGAATATTATAAAAAGTAAACGTATGTGTATATATATATATATCTATATATATTAGTAATAATGTATTGCCATACTTGTTTTCTTCCATACTTGTGTATTATGTAATACAGAACCTTGCCGATATATCTGACATTTACATTTCAATATACGATAACGTGGCAAAAGGTGTGGATTTTTTTTTCTTTTTTGTTTCTTTTTCTTCTTCTTTTTCTTTTTTTTTTTTTTTTTTTTTTTTTTTTTCCATGTCAATTTCGGAATATACTTTTTCTACGAATATGAAACTTCCTATAAGTGTATAATTACGTATATTATAATCGTAGTTGTTTTTTACAAAATCTTCGTTTCTATCCGATTCTATCGATTTTTTTTTTAATTATATTACTCGTGGATACTTACACACACACACACACACACACATATATATATGTGGATATGTGTAAGTAAGTACACATAATACGTTTAAAACGCATTAGATTTTATTTAATTTATATGCTTTTATATATTTATCTATATATAGTTAATATAAATAATTAGTATATTATAATCCACGAAAATTGGATTATAATGAAAAAAAAGAATTATTATATATTAATGTAATATAAAAATTTTATATAATACTGACAAAATAATATAATTATATAAAGCTGGTATATAAATGTTTGTTTTTATATTAAATTTTTCTTTTATCGTAAATCATACGTATGTTTAGAGAATTTATGCTATTATATAAAATTTGCTCGAAGATAAGAACGTTAGAAATAATCGAATTTTTGTAATAAATAAAATCACTCGCGATATAAAAAAAAAAAAAAAAAAAAAAAGAAAAAGAAAGAAAAGGAAAAAGTAAAGAGAAAGAACACGAAAGAAAGAAAAACAGAAATATCATTGCTCCTATTCGATAGACTTTTTTTTCTCTCGTATTCTTACTCAATAATTATCCTTATTTTTCCTTTCTTTCTTTCTTTTTTTCTTTCTGTCTTTTTTCCTTTTTTTTTTTTTCTTCTTTTTCTTTTTTTGGCAACGTACGTCCGTGAAATGGTGTCAGCAAATGAACTGTAAATAGAAAAATGATATTGCCCACCACAAGTTTAACTAGTTACACTTTCACGCGTTTTAATGTCACCATATATCTACATATATACATAAATAACTATATAAATACGTATATATATATATATGTATATATATATATATATGTATGTATGTATGTATATATGTATATATGTTTATATATATATGTCTGTATCATATATCATTTTGATATAATTTTTGTTAGTATTTCGAAAAATTTCAATTCAATCTTAAGAATTAATCGTACCTGAGAAAGACGAATTCCTTCCTCCCCCCTTCTATAAAACATCCTCCAAAAATTTACCGTTATATCAATGGTAATTTCTTTAAAAATTCCATTGCACGTTTGTTACGAAATTCTTTTTTTACTTTTTTCTCTTTTTTTTTTTTTATTTTTATTTATCTATTTATTTATTCTTTTCGTTTCTCTTTTCATTTTTTAATTTTGTCATATAGTAATTATAGGTTTTAGTGTTATTATAGGTTTTTTTATATAGATTTTTTTTTTCCTCCAGAATAGTTAAAACACCTCGAAATATTTAAATCTGTTGTTGAGTTAGTTTTAATTAAATAATTTATATTTAATATATTTAATATTATATATATATATTATAAATATTATAATAAATATTGATAATATATTATTAATATATATATATATAATTTTTTTTTTAACTCAATATATATATGTATATATGTACGTATATATTCTTTACTCACATATAAAATATTTTTAAAAATTACAAGAACCCTTATCAATGAATATTAATATTTATAATTCAATTTTTAAAACGTTGAATTATATTTAAACTATATCCAGACTCATATCGGAACAAATACTGATCGATAAATCAACGTAATAATATTATCATTAGAAAATATCTTTTATCAGATGCAGGAAACAATGTTTATAATACCGTATTAACATAATCGTTAATGTTATATTATCTAAACACAGATCTATATTTTAATCGATCTACGTAGTAGTCACGTATAAAAAAAAAAAAAAAAAAAAAAAAGAAAAAAAAAAGAAAAAAAAGAAAG